GGCTCCAACCCGAAGAGCAACTTCAGGCGGGGCGGGGGCGGGGGCAGTGGTCGGGACGGGACGCGGGCAGGGGCGGGGCACAGGCGCCTCTGGATGGGTCGGAAAAAACCGAGAGGTTTCGCTTCCCCGGGTTGAGTCACCAGCGCGCGGGGGAGGCGTGCGACGCGGTCAGCCGGGCTCCGAGTGTGGAGCACGGGGTCAGGACGATAAGCTTTGGGCGGGAGCAGGGCAAGGGGCTCGGATTGGGTCTGCGGGGTGCACAGGAGCTAGGACTGGGCTGTTAAGGGTGGGTTGGGCCTCATGGGGTGGGGAGGAGGGTCAGCTTCCTTTATTCCTTTACCTGCGGACCTGGAGGAAGCTTCGGTGAATTGAGCCCCTGAGCAAGATAAGCTGCGCGTGGAGGGGAGGGGGGTTGTTGACTAAAAGGAGAGTCCCAGGCCACCTAGGAGTACGAGAAACTTGAGTTGGGTCGTGAGGCCCAGGAAGGCAGTGGGTGACCCTCCATTATACCACACCGCGTCCTCATCATAGAGACCTGGGCGAAGTCCAAGGCTTTGATGGGACGTGTGTGGCACTCGCCCTGCACGCCCAGCGGAAGCTAGAGAGGGCATCATAGCCCGGAGCGAACCACGTGTTAGTTTAATGTATTGCGTGTGCTCCGATTTACATTGCTTTTCTGCCAACTTTGAACCAACGACCTGAATTGGAGATGGGAATCGGATATTGTTTGTAGGAGAAACAGAAGTAAGGGACAGCTGTTAGTCGGGACTGGGTGAAAAATGGTGCCCTCTTGCCATCTGTGTGACTTTGGGCAAGTTCTTTAACTTCTCTGGGCCTCAATTTCCTCATCTGTAAAAGAGGTTTCGCTTCCCCGGGTTGAGTCACCAGCGCGCGGGGGAGGCGTGCGACGCGGTCAGCCGGGCTCCGAGTGTGGAGCACGGGGTCAGGACGATAAGCTTTGGGCGGGAGCAGGGCAAGGGGCTCGGATTGGGTCTGCGGGGTGCACAGGAGCTAGGACTGGGCTGTTAAGGGTGGGTTGGGCCTCATGGGGTGGGGAGGAGGGTCAGCTTCCTTTATTCCTTTACCTGCGGACCTGGAGGAAGCTTCGGTGAATTGAGCCCCTGAGCAAGATAAGCTGCGCGTGGAGGGGAGGGGGGTTGTTGACTAAAAGGAGAGTCCCAGGCCACCTAGGAATACGAGAAACTTGAGTTGGGTCGTGAGGCCCAGGAAGGCAGTGGGTGACCCTCAATTATACCACACCGCGTCCTCATCATAGAGACCTGGGCGAAGTCCAAGGCTTTGATGGGACGTGTGGCACTCGCCCTGCACGCCCGCGGAAGCTAGAGAGGGCATCATAGCCCGGAGCGAACCACGTGTTAGTTTAATGTATTGCGTGTGTTCCGATTTACATTGCTTCTGCCAACTTTGAACCAACGACCTGAATTGGGGATGGGAATCGGATATTGTTTGTAGGAGAAACAGAAGTAAGGGACAGCTGTTAGTTGGGACTGGGTGAAAAATGGTGCCCTCCACTTGCCATCTGTGTGACTTTGGGCAAGTTCTTTAACTTCTCTGGGCCTCAATTTCCTCATCTGTAAAAGTGGGATGAATCAATACCTACTTTTAGGTGGAGTAGTGAGGATTAAATGAGTTGGATACATATCAGGCTCTTAGCACAGAACCTCTCCCATCATTAGTGCTGTTTAAACATTAGCTGCTATTTTAAAAAATTTTACTNCTCTGGGCCTCAATTTCCTCATCTGTAAAAGTGGGATGAATCAATACCTACTTTTAGGTGGAGTAGTGAGGATTAAATGAGTTGGATACATATCAGGCTCTTAGCACAGAACCTCTCCCATCATTAGTGCTGTTTAAACATTAGCTGCTATTTTAAAAAATTTTACTGTGTTAGCGAATGTTTAATATTAATATTAGTGAATATCAGTGAATAAAATCTGTCCAAGAAATATGCCTTTACAGCCCAGAATAAATAAATTTTAATCTTACAAAGGACATCTAGAAAGACTACATGCATGGAATTGGTAGAATTTGTTCTAAATTTTGAAAAAAAACTTAATAGGTGCAGATGTCATTCATTCATTCAGTAAATGTTCCCTAAGCATTTATTATGTGCCAGCTACTGTTCCAGCTCAGTTTACATTCTGGTAAGGGAGCAATGCCAATAACCAAACACTCCCGAGAGAGGATTTCAGATGAATGGTGGAGGAGGAGGGGTGGGAAGACGTGGTAGCAGGAGCGGAAGCACAGAGTGAGAGAATGCCTTCGCGGAGTGCATTGGGATTTGGGATGTGATGGTAGTGTAGGGTGTGATGCTCACACCCGGGGAACCTTAAGTGGCTTAAGACATTTATCTCATTAATAAGGGAGAACCACTGTAGGCTTTTGGAAAGCTCTGGGCCGGCCCCTTGGCTCACTTGGGAGAGTGCGGCGCTGGTAGTGCTGATGCTGCGGGTTCAGATCCTATATAGGGATGGCCGGTGCGCTTGCTGGCTGAGCGTGGTGCGGACGACACTGGGCTAAGGGTTGCTATCCCCTTACCGGTCAAGGAAAAAAAAAAAAAAAAGCTCTGTAACATGGCTCAACCTGAGTTTCTGGATATGTGCTGTGGGGAATAGAAAATAGTAATAACTAATATTTATTGAGTGCCCACTGTGTGTCGGGCGTGGAAGGTTTTAAGTATTCCGCAAGGACCCATGACGGGTACTACTGTTATCTCCATTTCACAGTTGCAACCGAGACATAGGGAGGTTAATTTGCTCAAGATCACGCAGCTGAGAATGTTGGAACACGCTCCAGAGCCCTTGTTAACTACTAGTCTAGCCCTTTCAATTATGCCTGACTCCTACTTAAAGTCTGGTTAAAAACTGAGATTAGCACACTCAACAGAGTCAGAAAACAGTTGCACAGCCTGTGATAAAGCACTGAATTTTGTGGACAAACTTTACATAAATTCTTTCCTTAGCTGGTCTTGAGAGAAAAATTAAATCATACTCTATTCCATTTTTACCTTTTTACATAAACATAGTGAAGACAGAAAAATCACCCACAGTTTCAGTTTTATTGGAGAGAATGTAATATTTTCCACTCTTAATTTTAAACCCAAGCAACTGGAATTTGCTGCAGGAATGTCTTTTCTTTCCCTCACCTCCGGCCTCTCAGTGCACGTACCTCCCATCCCCAAGCTTACTGGGTGTAACTGGAGAAGTAGGTTCTCACCTGTGCCCTGATGACATGAGTTTTCAGTGTTCTAGCCAGATAGGCCCTGTTCATTCAAAAAGTAATTTGTTTTGGGAGATATTGAAACAAAGAACAGGAAAAGCAATTCTCTGCAAAGAGAAACTGGTTTATTTTTCTAACCATACAGCTAACCCATCCACTCTTACCCTGGCAGATGCCTCCCCGGATACGGAGAAATTTCTTGTTTCCACTTTCACATCATTGCACTCCTGGTTAAGTTGGCCAGGGTAATTAAAAACAAAACAAAACAAAACAGATAAACTCTATGTGGCTGCTGAGGTAGGCAGGAGGAGAATGGGTAGGCCTGCTGGTTGAGCCATATCAGTGACCTTTCCAGGCTGCCAGGCTGGTCTTTCCAGTCCTTTCTTCTTCCTCTTTCCATGCGGCTTTTGAATCAGAGAAAGGTGTGGCCTTTGCACATTGGTCACTGAGCTAAGCCCCCTCTGTCCAGAGTGCAGTCAGCTTAGAGCTCCCACTAATGGGCACTTAGAATGTGTGCTGAGTTGAGTTGTTGCCAGGTTTGCTTGCCCTTGTGAGTGTTGCTGCTGTGTCTGGGCCTCCGTTTAATGGGTGACTTTGTGGTCTGGGGAGGAAGGGGCCAGCCCTTTGTTATCTCCAGATTCATGACTCATTTACCACAACTGCTAGATGAGAGGTTGGCTTCCTTCCCCCACCCACTGAGTCCCAGATCACCTATGTCAAGCAGGTCACCTCTCCTTGACCTATCTCCTGCTCTGTGCTAACCTTTAAAGACGGGGGTGTGCTGAGTAACCCTTTCTTTTCTTTAATTATTAGGGTGTCTTGCTTTAAAAACACAGGTGAGTCCCTAATCTTACCAAACTACTAAGCACAATGAGAAATGCTCCAACTAGGCAGACAAGCTCTCGCCCTTCATTCTGTAACTTACAAATTGTGTGGTTTTGCAAATTGGGCAACTTCTGCAATCAGGCAAATGGCGTGCATTTGCAGAGCAAAATGTGGTCAGCTTTTTCTGTTTAGGTTTAGAGATGACTCAGGTGTGCATTGAAGCTTGCTGCGTGGAAATTTCTAAGGGGAAAGCTTGTGGGAAATTTAAGGTGACTATGAGGCCCCTTGGTGATGATGGTAGGAACTTTTAGCTTTATAAAGTACTGTTTCTGGGGTAATTTTCACATCCTCAAACTTCTTTTGGATAATTGTGGGTTATGTAATTCACATATTTCTTGAACAATCACTGTGGACTTAGTACTGTGTACTGCACAAAGTGGGTCTATGCATTTGTATTTATATATTTATTTATTTGGCGGCTGGCAGATACTGGTATCCAAACCCTTCACCTTCATGTTATCAGCGCCATGCTCTAACCAGGTGAGCTACCAGCCAGCCCATATTTTGTTATCTATACTTAGCTAATGTTTCTCTAGTGCTCACCCTGTGCCAGGTACTGTTCTAAGCACTTTACGTATTTTAATTTTAATCCTTATGATGTCTTTACAAGGCAGATGTTTATAGATGACAAAACTTAGGTACGGAGAGGCCAAATGACTTGTAGTAAGTAGCCTTCAAGATGACTCCTGATGATCCCTCCTCCTGGTATCCACCCCTGTGTAATCTCCTCCTTCTGAGCGAGGACTTACCTTGCTTTAAATAGAAAATGGCAAAAGTGATAGAACATCACTTCTGAAATTAGGTTACAAAAAGACTATGACTTATGTGTTGCTGTCTGCCCCTCTGTGTGTTTCTCTCTCAGCTTGAGCTGTTATAACAAAATACAGTAAACTGGGTGGCTTAAGCAACAAACATTTCTCACAGATGTGGAGGTCGGGAAGTCCAAGATCAAGGCACTACAGATTTGGTGTCTAGTGAGGGCTTGCTTTCTGGTTCATGGATAGCACTCCACTCTTCTCACTGTGTCCTCACGTGGCAAAGATAAGAAGCAAGCTCTCTTGGGACTTGTCGGGGAGGGCTCACAAACCCTTCAAACCCATTGTGCAGACTGGGTCACAGACTCCTCACATACCCAGCTGGGTCACCAGACCCCTCACAGGCAGGTCGCAAGCTAGGTAATTGGGAAAGATGCCGGGAACTGTTGGCAGAGTTGACAGTTCATTCCAATGTGAGCTCAGTCCTCAGCTTCCTCAGCAGTAGCAGCTTACAGCAGCCTCCAGCAGCTGTAGCGACCAGCAAGGGTCCCAGTCCTGCCAACAGTGAATGAGTCTGGGAGCAGATTCTCTCCCACCCAAGCCTTGTGGTGATTGCAGCCCTGGCTGACAATTGATTGCACTCATGAGACTGTGAGCTGGGGAACCCAGCTGAGCTGACACACAGAAACTGTGATAATGAATGTTTGTTGTTTTAAGCCACGAAGCTTTGGGGTAATACACCTGTCCAAGGTCACAAAACTTGTATGTAAAAAAAAATGCAAAGTATAGGCCCTCTACTTTTTTTCTCTTAAATTATTTTTATTATAATGCTATCTGTTTATATAGAAAGAAATGTAGGAATAAAAATTTTATGATTGTTATTGTATACAACTATAAAATTGAGTGCCAACAAAAATAATTTGTTTTTATTTCTTATTTGATTTAAAGTCATATTTTTAAAAAGATAATTTGATGTGATGGAAGATGTTTTAAAATTAAATTATCGTTTAGTTTGGCAACATCAATCAACAGGAAAAGAAATACATTAAGGCCATCCTACAACGTCCTCCACAACTTTGAAAAGGTCTTTAAGATAAATTGTTACTTTAAAAAGCAAGCTGTAGCTAAAAGACCCCAAATTATGATTCCATTTATGTAAAAAGGACCATGCAAAACAAAACTACCGCTTATTTACCTATATGCTTAAAAGGGCATAGAAAGGTCTGGAAGAAGACAGTGAACTGATGACAGTGATTGCCTCCATCCAGGAGAATGTAAGTGAACATGAAGGAGCTTTTACTTTCTATTCTGTACATTTTGGTAGTTTTTTGGTTTTTTTCTTTTTCTTTTTGTGCAATGAGAATTTATTCATGTGTTTCTTGTGTTATTAAAAAAAAGTGTTTTTCTTGCCTTTTGGGAGTTATTTTAGTGTAGGATTTATTTAGCTATAGGGTTGGTGCCCAAGATGAGTGATAC